ATCAGCGGTATCTCACAATAGGGGTAAAAAATATGTAAATGATTCGTTTTTCGGTATGCCAATTTTAAATATTCGCTTTTTTATGTAAGTGACACTATGTTAATAGTTCCCCATACCATAAATTAATGTAAAATGCTAAATAACGAAGAAATAAAAAACCAATTAAAAAATAATGTGATTGTAAATATGCAAAAAGCACTAACTTACAACAAACAAATTATAGATGTAAATAAAAAGTGATATAATATAAAAAAAACACATTACTGCAACCAGATCAAGAAAGTTTGATACAACATAGGTCAGAGGCTAAAAAAGAGTGAATGACAGAAGAAATACTATTACAGATGGAAGAAAGAAGGAAATATAAAGGAAAAGATCTACAGAAGTATAAAGAAATACAACGAATAATTAAGGAAAAAAATCAAAACAGCTAAGGAAATCTATTTGATGAAACAATGTAAAGAGATAGAATAACTAGAAACAAAATATGATATAAATATGAATAAAAAAATAAGATAAGTGACTGGAATGTGTCGAAACAGATAGCAAGGACACATAGAAGACAAAAAAGAAGTACTACTAATATATTTACAAGAGAAATTAAGACGATGGGAGGAGTACGTTAGAGAACATTTCCAAGATGAAAGAGGTGAAATGCAGAAAATACAAGAATTAAATCCTTTAGAGAGACAGAAGATCACGATAGATGACATCAAATATGCTATTAAAAACTCTAAAAACAATAAGACAGCTGGATTAGATGAAATATCAGTAGAACTGGTAAAACTAGTGGAAGAGGATAACTTGGAAGTATTGGCAAATTTATTCAAGACGGTGTACGATACGGGAATAATACCAGCATTTATAACCATCCCTAAAAAATAAGCAGCAAAAGAATGCTCTGATTATCGAACACTGAGCCTCATGAGTCATATGTTAAAAGTACTGTTGAACGTACTACATAAGAGAATATACGAAAGGCTAGAGGATATTAGCGAGACGTAGTTAGGGTTCCGAAATGGAATGGGTACTCGAGAAGGACAACATGAACATATTGATTCAGCGATGTCGGGATCGACAGACAAACGTTGATCTACACTTACTTGTGCTTTGTTGACTATGAAAAGGCTGTCGATAAAGTAAGAAATGAAAAACTAATATCACTACTTATGAACAAGCGCATTGACAGTAAACTCATATATATAGTGCAAACATTATATTGGAACCAAAGTGCCATAGTTCAAATTAATGGGCAATACTCAGAAGAAAGAAGATATGTAGAGGTGTTAGACAGGGAGGTGTTTTATCGCCACTTTGGTTTAACTTATATTCTGAAGAAATTTTCCAAAACACGCTCAATAATATCAAAGCGGGAGTTACCGTTAACGGAAAATTAATTAACAACTTCCGATATGCAGACGACACTGTGATCGTAGCAACAAGTATAGAAGATCTACAACATCTTATCGAAAGCGTAAGTATGAATAGTGCTGAGATGGGAACTACTATAAACGCCCAAAAAAACGAAGTACATGCTAATTACAAAAGACCACAAAATATACACTATTGACAATCAATGGTAACGTGATAGAACAAGTAGAAAAATATCAGTACTTGGGAACTTTGAAAAGAAACCAATGATCATACTGCAGAAATAAACAGGCGAATAGAGATTGCCAGATCAGCATTTATACGAATGAAGCCACTCCTAACGTTCCATGTTCTAATGACACCAAACTAAGAATCCAGGAATATATGCTGGAAAATGATATCATATTATGAAGATAATTATTCTAAAAAACAATTACTTGAAGTTTAAAATCATTTTCCATCAGAAAACAATATTATTGCGACAGTTAGGCGGAAGAAATAGAGTATACAGTATTAAGACTTCCATCTTGCTATTGCATGTTCAATCCGATTGAACACATATGGCATGAGTTAAAAGCATCAGTAAGAAGTGTTTCGCTCACCCTAAATTCATATGTAGTTCGTCTAATTGAATTAGAAATGGAGAAAATAGTTAATGACAGCTGGAAAAATAGTGTTGCCCATGATCTAAAGATGGAAAGATCTTATATAAATACAGTAGGTTGCTCAAACAAAGAGTAAATAAATAATGTATATAAAACGGACCGTTATTTTAATTTACCGTTACAATATTTTTGATGAAAATATTATTTTCGAATCTAGAGGAAGCGATTCCAAAGAGTTTACAATGGCATAAATGTTGGTCTAGATAATAAATGAAACGCTTGATTTAGAGTTTCTTATTAAAATATTTTGTGAAAATAAAAAAATGTACAGCTAAAAACAAGCTTTTGGCACTTAGTCCATTATTGTCTCCAATTATGTTTATTACAAATTTAAATTTTTCTTTCAAACACATTTAAAAACCACACCATTTAATAATGATCCCAACAGTAAAATGGAAAAACATAAGCTAATTGAACAACCTAAAATATCAAAATATCAAATTTTGACATGAGTTGTAAGATACCTCACATATCAAAAGTTATATTGTCTATTCGCTTAGCTAGGGCATATTTTGACAGACTCATTGTAGGAAACCTACAACACAACAATTCCTACTTCTCAGTATTAATAGCTCAAGTATACTACTATTGCAGACTTCTTTCTTTGAAAAAAAGAAGAATTATTCTAAATAGTGGAAGTGTATACTAAACCCATCAAATTTTCCCTGTATATTTAAAATGTAATATTCGAATTGTTACAATTTAAAATATTGTAGTAAATATTTGTATTATTCGCGTTGTTTATTTAATTTAATATAGTTTTATTATTTTTGTTTAATTCTTTTGTTAGTTCTATTCAGTTAATTAGTTAGTTATATTTTAAATTTTATTATTATGGATAGTCAAAGTTTTCCATTTGTTCCATCAGCTAATGCGTTGTAAGTTTTTCTTAATAAATATGATAAAATGTTTTTTAAAAAGTTTTTTTAAAGTTAATATTTTTAGATTAGTAAGGATGCTGTTCCTAGATTACAAGGTAATAAAACTGCACAAAGGTTTATTCAAAATGCCTACCATCTTTTTTAATTATTTGCCGAATGAAAACCCTGTTGAGGTAAGTTGATCATTAAAATGTATTTATCGAATTATGTAAATGTTGTAAATACATAAGGAACTTGCTGTGTCGTATTCTTATTTAACCTCACTTTGACTTCTTAATTTTGTAGAATTTATTCCCACTTTTTTATTTTGTACAATAAATAATTTTATTATTTGTTATCAATACATTATACGGTGTAAATAACTAAATATTGATTGTCGGCAAAGTTCTATTTTATTTACTTTTGTTTACATTAATATTGACTAAGAGCACGTATGCTTGGTTGCATAGTATTTTCCAGCCACTTCGAGTCTGTCAAAAAGTAACTAACTTCGAAAAAAAAAATTACTAAAATCACTAGACAGTTCGGACTGGGAATAGCGAACCGGGTATACAATGCCGATGTGCGCTTTTACCCCGGGAGTGAATACTACCCCTTCTTACGGGTTTAAGTTTAAAACATCAAAATAACTTCATAAATCGATAATCACATTTTAAGCAAAATATGTCAGATGATGTATTTTTGTTAACCCAATACTTTTCGAGTTATTCTAAATTAAGATGCAAAAAGAAACATATTTTTTAACCGTTCGTTGCAATAACTACAGAACCTTACGTTGTATAGAAAAAATATTAATACTAAAAATAAAGTTTACCAACAAACAACGTTAAATAACTAAAATACGAGCAACTTTCCAGGGAAAACTTATAGAATATTTTTGAAAGAGCTAAAATATACCTTTAAAATGAGCTTTTAAAAAGACCTTGGGACAAAAATTGAAAAAGTTATGAAACTAAAATAGACTTCACAATTTTTTTAAGAAAAAAAATAACAATAAAAACAAATTCAATAGAAGGTTGAATATTTTAGAAAGCATAGATTTAAAAAAAATGTTTTAAAAGTTGATATGTGAATTCTATGAATATTGGTATCTTTTGGTTCTATATAAGTATCTATGATAAAATAATACACATTGTTTTTACAGTTTTCAATAATTTTAGAATTTTGTTAATAAGTTATTATAATTAGAATACAGTTATAATTTATTTCTAAAATTCATTCAAAACTGTAAAAATACTGTATATTATTTTATCATTCAGATAAGTCTAATATTCATAGAATTTATTTTAAATAACTTGTGTTTCTAAATCTGAAATATTCAAACTTTTGAAACATATTATTGTGGCAAAAATAAAGTGATTTCTTTAAGGGCTACCATAAAGTAATTTTTTCTTGTAAAAGTTCATTTCAAAGGTGTATTCCAACACTTTCAAAAATATTCGTTTTCCCCGATAAATTACTTGTTTTCAGTTATATAACGTAGCACTCTTAAGTCTTCTACAAAGAAAAATCGGCCTCGTGGAACTATATTTCGCGATATATTGCTTTTACAATAAAAAACCAATTTCTTGTTTTTTTATTAACTTTATTTTTCATAAGAATATTTTTTCCATAAAACGTAAGATTCTTTTGTTATTTGCGAAGAACAGTTAAAAATCATGTTTTTTTACATCTTCAATTACGAATAACTAAGTATTGGATTAAAAAAAAACTTCATGACATTTTTTGCTTAAAATTTAATTATCTATCGATCTTTGTGAACGTGGGCTATGAGAGAAAATTTATTTGTGCACTAGCTAACCCTTTAAATAATGGCAACCATGTTTAAATTATTATTGGTAATTATACTTTACAATATATTGAATATAGTTTTCAGATAGTTGCTTTATGCCAAATCCTGAACTATTTTGACATATGGTGTTATTTAGCTGTAATTTAATACGCAAAAAATACACGCCGTTGAATTAGAAATAAACCTATAAATAATATTTGAGGTTGCTCAATGGATGATTGTTAGTAAGCAAAATAGGTTTAACCTAATAAGGCAAACTCTTGGTTAGTGTTATACCTATAAAAACCTTACACATTAAACAAGTGTCGCAAATCCTTGTGACGTGGTTTCTCCTTGACCCTTCTTTCGGCCATACTGTCCAATAAATGACCCATCTTCATTCATACCCTCTACAGAAATCATAAAAAAAAACAAAAATAAAAAAATGGAAAGAGAGGACGATTTCAGCCAATTTCTACTATAAATGAGCATGCTTACTTACGCTTATACCTACAGACCTCTCAGAATATTAAAAGGCTGATGTTTGATATTAATTAATCAGTATCATAAAAATATAAAAGAAATAACTTCACCATAAAATATTGTAAATAGTTATACTGTTAGGATATAGAACCATAAAGACTACAGGAATGTATATTGTTAAATGTTTTATAAAACACAATATATATTCGATTAAACCAAAACTAATTCACGTGTGTAGCATGGGCCTATCAAGAATATCTCCACAGTTTTCCTCCTGCTTGTCGTAAAAGGCGACTAAACGGAGGAGCAGTCGTTCTCTTGTCCTGTCGCGGCCATTAAGTCTTGTGAGGCGATCGCAAGGGAGCAAGCTAAGGACTGCTAAGGGAGGTAAGCGTGGTTAAGGAGTGGAGTTGTTACGCCCTGTCCACACGTGCGGTCATCTACACTAGATGGGAGCAAACCAATTCTAGCTGCTCTGCGATACTATCTCTCTTCATCTATCTCCAGTCTATGGCTCTCATATCGCCAACGCATGGTCTACTCGACCCGATATATATTAGATGTATCTATTCTACACTCTGAGTACAATCAAGAAAAGGTGGTTATCCTTCCTTCCACTTTGCCTACATCCCCCAAGACACAAGGTAAACTTGTAATTGTAGCATGCCCAGACATGCATGGTAGTTCTATGTATAAACATAACTGTATCACATGGTCGACTGGGGTAACCAAGCTTCACTCCCTTCCATTTTAGGCCTCTGCCGGTATAGGGAGCGCTGCAAATATGGACCGACTAGTTCTCGTGGGATTAATATGAAAATTATTAAATCCTCCAATATAAAAATTTAACCCCAGGGGACTCAACTCCTCCATTAAGGCTATTAAGCAGACTCTGAAAGACAACAAACCCAAAAAATTGAGTAATAGAAATACTGAGGATGTAATGCGGGCTCCTTTGAAAGATACCGAAAGACTTGAGGTTTCTCCATCAAAAATATCCGAGGCACAGAGGAGGCTGGACCGGAAAATGTGGAAACGAGGTATTGACACTTCTAAGATCAAATTACTTCATACTCCTCAAAATAATACTACAGGGAATGCCGAATTCACACAGACTGTTAAACGGTCTGTAATAGAAGCATCCCCGAGGAAAAATTAACAAAAAGAAAGCAGAACTGTTGCTGCCTCACTAAAGGGTAACTATAAAGCTTCTCTTACTGGGATAAAGACGGCAGTCATTCCCAAAGTATACCCAGACAAATCTGTATCTGAGAATGACGCTGGAGTAATAAAATTTTCCCGTTCTAAACTTATCGACGAGACTCCTTGCGTTTCTCCTTACCAGGGAAACCGATTCACAGATGGGTACTATGGGTTGATTTTTGCTGGCGGGAACTCATTTAAGATGACAAATGACTTTTTAGAAGAGACGGAGTGTAAGGTCGTTAGGGCTGAATAACTCCCAAAATCGATGAGCGTGTTGATGTATGTTTCAGAGACTAAAAATGAGGATCTGAAGGCTCCATGGACACTAATTGAAAAACAATATCCTCAACTCAGGACTAATCGTTGAGCGATTCTGGGCTCCATACCAACCACGGACGGAGGACTGCATGTAAGTCTCCTGGTTGATAAGTAGTCAGAAGAGCTCAAAAGTCTCAAATGGAAGCCTTACTACTTTTTCCAGCTATATAGCTGGAAGAATCTCATTGGAAGAAGGCAAAACAAAACACAAGGTAACCATTGACGAACAAAGGCACTACATCCAAACCGTTGGAAGCTGAAGGGGAATCCAAACTGGACTGTTGAGAGGCCCAAAAATTAATAAACCGCAAATAAGCTCGTACAGGTCAATTTGCAGCACAAAAAAAAACAAAAAATAGCTCAGAAGAACATTGACATGGTGCATATTCAAGAACCGTGAATAAACGAAGGTAAGATACGGGGATTAAGTGTTAGTGGATCGGAACTATTTTTTGGAGTACCAGACACTAAAATAAGAACTCTTATCTGTTGCAAGGCTAACTTCAACTTGGTACCAGTTATGGAGCTCTATAGGGGAGGCATGATAGTTGCCAGAATAAAACTGAATTACAATGGATCGCAAATAGATATAACTGTTGCGTCTATACTTTCCGATTCATTCTAAAGAACAACTTCCAAGGACTAACTTAGAGAACTTTCTAGAATATACGAAAAATAAGCAAAAGAGCTTAATTATTGGACTCTACTCCAACGCCCACCATCCTATTTAGGATAGTGCAGATATAAACAACAAAAGTAAGTTGCATACATATGCTTTAAAATTAACCCAGTCAAATTGTAACCCAGGTTTTATATAGACCCTAAATCGAGAGATTGGGAATCATTTAGGAGGGATCTTAAATCAAGAGTGCGGAACTCTCCTAAAAGGTAAAAAAAAACAAGGTTGAGATTGAGCTGACAGTAGACTGATTGCAACATGCAATAGTCCCCTCATATGAGGAAAACTTCCCATTAAAAGAAAGTCGCCCGCCCAGACAAGCAGACTGGCGGAATAACGAGCAATATAATCTCAGAAAAGAAACAAAACGGTTCTTTAACAAGGCGAAGAAATCAGATTATTGGAAGCACATAAGGTTAAACTGAAAACCTTTAATAAGACAATACTGTCTTATAAGAAAAGATGTGAAAGAACAATTAAAGTGTACCTAACAGTACCAGGGTAACAGAATTCTTGAGAGATAAAACTAATAAACGTAAGTCAGTTAAATTGCCCAAAGGGAAGTAATACACTGAGGGAGGTGTAGAGTATCCACAGTTTCTACTCCTCAGGGTCAACGTAATTAACTAGTGGAACTAACCAACAAACTTTAACTCAACTAGAATTGATAGGCTGGACCTAGGAAGGGATCTTTGGATCTCAGGTCAGATGGACTACTAAAACGTTGTTTGAACCATATAAAACTGCGGGGCGAAATAGTATATTGCCCAGGCTACTCCAAGAGGGATTAGAAATAATTATGGGCTCTCTTATATATTTAGAACTAGCCATGCTCTGGGGCTCATCTTCAAAGCTTGGAGCTTAGTAAAATGACAATATGTTTGACTTCATTCATATTGAAAACTATCAATGAATGAAAACATCAAGAAAAACAATCTTAATCAAACCTATTGCACCAGCAGCAATGGGCGTATCAAGCAGTGAAATCAGGTGAAGCCACCCTGCACAATCTGGTGTAGGAACTCGAAAGGAGTTTACAGCAGAAATAAGTCGCCATTGCTGCATTTTTAGACATCGAAGGTACATTGGACAATACCTCTATCGAGGCAATACATGTTGCACTGATGAGGAAGAAAATCAATAACACAATATGCAAGTGAATGGTTAGATGTTTCAGAGCAGAATAATATCCACGAATTCGTATGAAGGCGCCATAAACCTGAGAACAACTAAGAGGTATTCTCAAGGGGGTTAATTTAATATTCACGAATTCGTATGAAGGTGCCATAAACATGAGAACAACTAAGAGGTGCTCTCAAGGGGATGAATTGTCACCAAAATTATGGAATGTAGTCATTAACTACCTGATTCATGGGCTTAACAGCCAAAGCATCTGGATCCAGGGTTTCACAGTCGACATTGTAATAATGACTGGGGAAAATTTTTTAAGTACTGAGGATCAGATGAAAATTGATATCTGAAAGAGAATCTCTCTGTGAGCCATTCTAAAACCTGTAACGTTATAAATGCCACGTTTGTTATTTTTCTTCAAATCATTATTTTATTCCAATTTCTTTTGATTTTATTCATTTGTTAACTTTTTTTTTTGTTTTACTATTTTTCTTCTAAAAATAGTTGGCGCTCAACTCTTCTATCAACTAAATATTCTGTTTAATCTCTCACTTATTTCGATTCTATTCCCCGTATTCAGACCCCATATCTTCTCGATTTTATTATATGCCATAAACATATATAAGATGTCTACGCTCCACTTCAAGCGACAACATATATTTGTCAGTTGGCAACTCGTTACTTCTGTGAATGTCAACAATTTCAGTTCCGATTTAAGCAGAATTGGGAATCGTGTTTTTATGTACATCTGTCATCTATTTAAGGAGATGTACTTGCTTGTAAATTCATTTACATTGTTAAATCTCTTGTCTGGGGAGAGTACATCCAGGGAGAAGGATTGGAAGGAATGGAAACTGATCCTAGAATATGACAATGACGTACAATGAAGTTTAGCATGATAGAAAAAACGCCTGAACCAAAAACGGAGTAGAGAAAAAACCTAAAAAACAATTCAATAATTTGTTTTTGATCAAGAGGCTAATGGAGCTAAACAATATATAGAAGGAACTGGACAATGATTCAGTCCAATGCTGGAAAACACATATGTCACTGAGAAGAAGAAAATTTGAAGTGTTAAGTAATAATATTTAAAAATTAATAAGAACAAAATATATCTATAAACATAAATAAAACATGCTGTGTGATAATGGACGTGATCCTATGCCACATCTTTCAGCCATTTCCAATATAAAAATAATAATTAATTTTAAGAGGTCTATAGAAATATCGTAATTTTAAAATATGTATAATTCGAGAAATTGCCAAAAAAATGTATGTACTTTATAGTACTTACCCGTATCACCATCTCCATATTCTGCCATGGAATCGGTGTCACTCTCGGGGCCAACTTTAGTGTCACTATTCATAGAAGTACGTCCATGGGATTTGTTATCCAATCTGAAAATATTACGATACAAAATTATTGCGTTTTTAAAAAAATAGATACACAAAAAAGGAAATACACAATAACGGAAAAATCGGGAAATGACAAAATTTGAAGAAACTAATTTTTAATTATACAAATGTATAGGGATAAAATTGTGGTAGCAAAAAACAAAGCATCCTACAAAACCTTCTTCTTCCTATGCCGTCCCCATTAACGGAGGTTGACGACCACATCTCTAAAAGTTTCTCTGTCTTTTGCAACGTGGAATAATTTATCTACAGTCATGTTTGTCCAGTCTCAACTATTTCGCAGCCATGACTTCCTCTTTCTACCTATTCCCCTTTTGCCATCGACTCTATCCTGCATGATGACCTGCAGAAGACTATATTTATCATTCCTCAGTATGTGTCCAAGGTATGCAGTTTTGCGTACTTTTATTGTTCTCAACAATTTTTTGTCACGACCCATCCTTCACAGCACTTTCTCATTGGTCACCCTGGCAGTCCATGGAATTCTCAACATTGTATATCCAAAGAGGCTTCAAGCTTCTTAACTATTCTCTCTTTTAACGTCCATGTTTCTAGTCCGTACAATAGTTGGGACCAGACCAGACCAGACTAGTAACATTCAACAAACCTCAGTCTCAGCGCAGTATTCAGATTTTTGTCACAGAACAATTGTTTGAATTTTAAGGACGCTACCCTTGCCATTTCTATTCGTACCCTGATCTCTTGGTCTGGATCTAATTCTGTGTTGATGTAAGCTTCCAGATATTTATATTTTGTCACTATCTTCTCTCTATTTGCTGTCCACTAAGGGTTAGTTGTTCATTATTTATTGGACTCCTTAATACTATTATAAATTTGGTCTTATCTGTATTGATGTCAAGTCCAATTTGAATGCATTCACTATTTATTACATCTAGTAAAGTTTGTAGTTCTTCTATACTCTCAGTCATAATTGCCGTGTCATCTGCAAATCTCATGGTGTTCATGGGATTTCTCTACCAATTCTTATTCTCTCTGTTCTTTCCCATAAGGCTTTTCTGAATATGACCTGTGAGTACACGTTGAAAAGCGTCGGAGACAAGACACATCACGCAATCTGTATATTATTTGTTTCTATATCGTTCACCTTTACTACTGTTTTCTGGTTCCAGTATATAGCCTTAATAAACTCAATGTCTTTTTGTCTAATTGATGTTTTTTAATTCATCTTTTAACTTCATATGCTGCACTCGATCAAAGGCCTTCCTAAAGTCTATGAAGCATACATATGCACTCTTGTTATATTCCAGACATTTCTGCAAGAGTACCGTCAACGCAAATAATGCATCTCTTGTACCCATGCCTCCTCTGAAGCCAAACTGCGTTTGATCTATCTGCTCCTCACATTTCTTATAAATTCGGTTTTGAACAATTTTCAAGAGAACCTTTAAAGGGTGGCACCTTAAAGGGTGGACAATTCGGGTGAGACCCTTTATATTACCGTCATCTAAGGCTTTTAACAGTTCAACTGGAATTTGATCAGGACCCGGTGCTTTTCCTTGTTTTGCATTCTGTAGGGCATGCATTACTTCTGAGGGTAAAATTTGTAGGTATTGTTCTTCTTCACCTATATCTTGTTCATTTTCCCTCTCGTCTTGGAATAAATGGATTGTATATTGTTTCCATACTTCCTTTATTTTGCTCTCTTCAGTAAGTATTCCTCCATTATTATCTCGTGTTATGAGTGTTTTTCTTGGTCTGGTGTTGCCTGTAAGTTCTTTCATTTTTTTATGTAAGTTTGAGGTGTCATGTTTGTTGCTGAGTTCTTCCAGTTCCTGGCATTCCTTGTTCATCTATTCCTCCTTAGCCTTTCTGATTTCATATTTGATTTTTTTCTTGATGGTTTTATATTTATTTCCATCTTTATTTTTGTATTTTCTTTTTCAGTTATTAGCTCAACTATTTCCGGTGTCATCCAGTCTTTTTAGCGGTTTTCTCTTCTTTGCCTAGGACCTCTTTTTCCGCTTTTAGTATGGCTTTTTTCATATCTGCCTATTCTACGCTTCCTTCAGTTAATTTGTTTATCTCTGCGGTTTTCTGAGTTTAATGTTGACGTTTGCTAGTAATAAATTATGGTTCGTATCTGCATGCGCTTGGATAGGTTTTTGCACTTTGTACTCCATTATGAAACCTTTTGCTAATCGTTTTAAAATATATTTGGTTTCTGATTATATTGTGGTTGTTATCTTTTGAAGAAGTCCACGTCTATAATCTTCGTGAGAGTAGGTCGTAGTATGTATTCGTTATGACTAAATCTTTTTCCTGACAGCACTGAACTAATCTATCACCTCTTTAGTTTCTTTTACCTAACCCAAAATTTCCTATATTTCCAGTTTTTCCTCGACCGACTTTAGCATTAAAGTCGGCCATAATTATTTTTACCTCCTGCTTCTTTATGTTTTTTTTTTTAACAGCTCTAAGCCCCCGTAGAATTTATCGACCTCAGCATCATTGCTATCAGATGTTGGAGCATACACTTGGATTAGATTTATCTTTACAGGTTTGGTTTTCAGCTGAAGTTGCATCATACTTTCGTTAAAGGGAATGAAATTTGTCACAAACTTTTTTAAATTATTGTTGATATTAATAATACCAACAATATGGCTGTGTTCTCCAGTGCTTTTGCCTGAGTAGAAAATAGTATTATTATCCTTAGTATAGTTTCCAGAATTTGGCCATCGAACTTCTGAAAGGCCCAATACGTGTATGTCTAATGATTCTTCTATTTCTAGCATGACTGTTGTTAATTTTCCTGCTTCATAAAGTGTTCTTATATTCCACGTTGCTATGCGTTTTAAATCGCTTACAGTAAATTTGTTTTTCCGCCCGGGGATTCTTCGCACCCCTGTCCTATTAATGGGACGCCGGGCACTTGGGGCCACTGTTTGATTTACCTCCATTTGTGGTTATTGTTGAGAAATTCTTAGGTATCTTTAATGTATGTGTTTCTCCTTGCCGTTGCCATCTTTATGCCGTTGATCTTGCTTCAACCGCCTTTGAGATCTATTTCTTAATCTCAGGGCAAAAGAGCGCCCTCCCACTTACCAAGCGCCTACAAAACCACCGAATTGAAAGTATTTCGAAAAATACCAGACAAACCTCTAGCAGAAAGAGTAGAATAATAGACCGATCAATCAATCGTCACAACTGTATAGACGGGTTTGACGGTTGAAATGTGTAGTATGAGATTTTAAATAAGTAAGTTTAAGTAAGTGCTTATTTTTAAATAAGCCATCAAAATGTCAAACTCATAATTTTGCTCGTAACTTAAAAACTTGTCTATTTAAAGATTTGACGGTAATTACACAAAGTCGCTGTTTTTGAATATTGTTAATAAATTTTTTATTATTTACTAAAATTTGTTTAAATGTTCCTGAACTTGAGGATCTCATCGTGTTTAAATATCATAGATGTGGTTATAGCGTGCAGGGAGGTATCCAGACCTATTTATACATAATACATATAAAAAGGTGACTTAAAAAAATATTTGTACATCCCGTAGCAATTAGCGCTTTGTTTTGGAGAATTTTGCAATGAACATACGATAATGTTATTATTTTAACTTTATACCCCATGAAAAAAAATAGCAAATTTGGTAAAATAGAACCAGTGATATCTCTTTTTTCCGAACAATCTATTTTGAAACTGTGTTGAATTTTTTGAAGAGCGCGGCTGATTACTTTGTTGATTGTTTATTTAAAAATATTTCCACTAAAGAACTGATGAATCCCTAGATGAGAGTCTTTTTGTAATATCTCATTACAATACAGTTGCTTCGAGTAAAAAAACTTAATTGGCCTATAATTAATTTATCCCTATCAAATAAAAAAAAATCTTTTGTAGAATAACAGAACAAAGAATGGTAAAAATTAATAACCAAAACAAAGAAAAATAGAAAATTTCTAATTATGAGAAGGAGGAACATCAGAAGTATATTGAATAATAGAATTACTTTTCGAGAGCTTAAAAATAAAACAAACTTACGGTTGTGAGTATTCATGGAAGCCTCCTTCATCTGGATAATCGTGCCTTCCATTGGCTTGCTCTCTCTCATGAACAGCATATTTTCCGCCTCTATTTCTCTTAATTATACATACAATAATAAGTACTAAGAGCAGAAAAGCTATAGCCAGCATCATTCCTATAAACCAGCCAGCAGTAGCAACATTTTCTTTAGCCCTAATTATGGGCCCGTCAATATCGTACGTGCTAATCTCTTGAACATCACTATCCGTCATATGTGCAGATGATTTGCCATCGAAAGCAGTCACAATGAATTCATACACGGATGAATCGTCAAGACCTGCTACATCTGTCCAATCGTCATTTTCTTCAAGGCGAGATTGTTCAAAACTAGATTCACCCCTCTTCCTATATTTAACAAAGAAACTGGTACCTCCCTTTCCATCTTCAGCTGGAAGCCAATGGATTCTCACAGTTGTTGGAGGGCCTGGTTTAATAATTTGGTACTCAAAAGTTGGTTTGGACGGTTTTATTTTGCCAGCAGCTCGAGTAGTTCGCTCAATAAAGTACCTCTTAGATTCGCCCGCTTTTGTTGTTGCTGCAATGTACAACCTATATTTGGTACCTGGTAAAAGATTACCTAGTTTCGCTCTTTTTAAATTCGGGTCCATAATTTGAGGTTTTCTGGGATTTGGTTCGTCAACTTTCATGAATGGGTCCACTTTCGACCAATATATGTTATAACCAGTCAGTATTCCATTTGGCTTATCAGGTTTCTCCCATTTAAGCAAGAAACCTGTGGATCCTAGAGGGTATGCCTCGAAGCCTTGCATTTCACCAGGTTTTCCTTCGGGCGTATCAAATGATAATGTATCGCTAGGCGGTCCGTTATACTTCTCATTAAAGACATACACTACAGCATAATTTTTTGTATACGGATCGAAGTTAGATACTAGTGCTTTGGAGTTTCCACCTTGTACTTGTATCTCTTTAGTTATGCTTGATGTATCACTCCATGTTTTGATTTTGTATCCCTTAAAGTGACCTCTAACAGACTCAAGCGGTACAGGATCCCAACTTAACAATGCTGTGGTTGGACCTTGAATTGCCAATAAAGTGAAATTAGTAGGCGCTTTTTCAGGTTTACTTTCACCAGAATACCCAATTACTTCTTGTGGTGCCACATTGGCTTCGCCCAATTCGTTTACAGCATGTACTATGATTTTGTATTGTTGGTATGATAACTGATTAGGAACGACATATTTATTTTGTTTGTAATCAAGGATTTCCACATATTCGTAATTTACACCATCAATGGCTCTTTTGTAGCCAACTCGATACTTAAAACCAGGCGCGCCATGTTCAATTTGAGGCATTGGAGTCCAACTGATTACTAAATTATCGGGTTGATCTCCCTCTCCTTTCACATTATCAGGATTTTTATGAGGAACCTACAAAAATTAAAGAATTAGTCAAAGCAATTTACTTCGAATCAATCAAATATTTACCTCTGGAGGAGTTGTGCAAACATCCGAATGCGAAGAAGGCTTAGACTGTCCAATCTTATTGACAGCTATGACTCTAAATGTATAATTGGCCCAAGGTTCTAAAGGAACATTGTAAGTTGTATCTGCAGAAGGAACTTGATTGAAATCTTTCCATTCCTCAGGTATAAAACTAGTGTTGTATTGTATAATATAATAGGAGATAGGAGCACGATTGTCTCCCATAGACGTCCAGCTTATGGTGGCGTCTTTACTACGACATACCACTCCAAGCATACGTGGTTTATTAGGAACATCTTGTACCGTGAGTTGAGCTTTGGCTGAAGCTTCATCAAGCTCTGTTCTAGCTAAACACGTATAGGTGCCTGAATCTAATTCATGCGTTTTTGTTATTGTCAGGGAATAATCCGAAGATTTTACAAATCTTGGCTCCCCTTCGAAGTCGATGGGTTGGTCATTTTTGAGCCAAATTATTTCTAAGTCTAAAGACTCATCAGCTACTGCGTTACACCTGAATGTAGCTGGAGTTCTTGCTTCTACTTCATAATCTTCCGGACCATCCGTAATGTATGTATGAGCTAAAAAGAAATTATTATTAAATGTGTTAAATATACTACTAGATAAGATTATAAAAAAAGTTGTCAAACACAGGAACGAAAATAAATACAAAGCCATAAATACAAAGAAAAAAGATCATTAAAATAATATTAGAAAGAGACAGAAAGATAAGGCGAAACAAAAAAATGAAACATTTATTTACTAAGAAAAGTTGGGTACGAATTAGATAAAGGTTAGACTCCGACAAAGTTTAGTTTGGGAATATGACTCATAACTCGACGGTGCGCAGTGGTTCTTGTTTACTAGCGTTACCATAGAAACGGCCAGTTTGAAGTTTGCCAGTGTCGTAGTTGCATATCGCAGAGAGTGTTTGACTTGTTGATTTGATCGTGTTGGATATTTTATTATTTTATTTTATAATAGTGCTTAGTATAATATAGGTAGTAGTAATTAGTGAATTATTAAGTCATTTAGTGTTTAGTTTATTTATAGCGTGTTAAGTTTAGTTATTAATAATAGTTATAATATGGCTTCTAAAAAGATAGGAACGAAAGTGCTGGGATTAAATAGCCAAGCAAAGACAATAATTTATAATGTTACTACATTTAAGGAACAAGAGGCAGCACATATCGAAGCAACCTAAAACTTGTTAATACCTTTAAGGAAATTGACGTAAGTGTTGTCAATGATATTTTTATTTATGTTTAAAAATATTTTGTTTGTTCTTGTTTGTTACTTTTTTTAGATCTTTTTTAGATTTTTTGTTATATTTATAGGTCATTGAAATTATACTAATTTATATTTCTATTTTCACATCTTTAAATGTAAAGTGGGGTGTATCTGTAAATATGTATTTTGATAGTTTTCAACAATATTCTCCCATTGCTGTTACCATTTCAGTCTAATTTTATTTTTTATTGAGTTAAATATATCCCTTACTGTATAAATATTGCAAAAGACTCCATTTTGCACTGCTTCCTCAGCTAGAGTATCAGCTTTTTCATTCCCTGATATACCTACATGGCCTCTAACCCAAATAAATGTTTTATTTGAGTTTAGAATCAAATTTAGAATCTGTTAATATTATTCTATATGTTAATCTATTAATATATATGTTAACCAGGTAATACCTTTTATATTTGCAACAAGCTCGGCAGTATAAATCCTACAAACAGGTGGTAATTTATATTTTAATGATTGGTTTGTATTTTGTATAAATATACCACAACCAACACCTTGTGATTACCTATTTACGATGTTTTCTCTACGAAGGTAGAGAAGTTAATAAAAATGGAGCGACTATTTGATATTTTACAAGTCGGAAAAGAAAACGTTCTCGTGTTAAAAAAACTCAATTGGACCAAGGAGAAGAAGAAATCATCAAAAATGTTATATATGACTTTTACGATGACGATATGAACCATCTTAATTTTATGAGGTAAATAAACCACGTTTTCCAGTTTATGTGTTAGACTATAAGCTTGAACAACATGGCCATCAAGTACTTCGCTTGCCTTCTTATCATCCAGAGTTAAGCCCTATTGAAAAAATATGGGCTTTGGTAAAAGGTAGAGTGGCCACTCATAATACAACATTTAATATAAATGATGTTGAAAATATAACGAGAGCAAAATTTTCAGAAGTGTTGATATAAGAGTGGGCTAACATAATAATATGTAAACACGTAAAAAAATATGAAAACACTCAAATCGCAAGAGAATATTTATTAGATTCTACGCTGGACCACTTAAATTTTTTATTAATACTGGTTCATCCTAAGAAAGCTTTTCTGATGATGAAGATAGTAATTAAAATTTTGTAATAGACGTGTTTTGTGTGATACTCTTTTGTCATATAACAAAATATAGAAGTCCTTAAAATCCATATTTTTTTATAAATTATTTATTTATACATTATTTAATTTGTTAAAATAAATTACTTATTTTTTTTGAGTTGTTGAAACCATTTCTTCCTTCCTGGCAATGTTAATAAATTGTAAGTATTGAGGAATTTGTTATTTATTAAAGTACTCCTAATAGTTTACTCATTGTTTTATTGAATGCATGACTATAAACTTCATAAATATTAAAAACTATAAAAATAAAAATTGACAAATTCATTCTCACTTTAATTGAATATACTTATAAAAATTTATTTTAAAGCTACCGGTTTCCGTCCGCCACTGGTAGAAAGGGTCCGCCTTTCTGCGCGAAACACGACGTCACATTCCCAAACTTAAGTTTGTCGGAGTCTAAAGATAAACTAATTTTACAATATGTGTGTATATGTGTAGAGCTAGTGAATTGTTAAAATTACAAGTGAAAAATGTTGAGCAACAGTTAACACACACAAGATCAGATAGAAACATTTAACAAAGCACAAAAAGTGGTAGTGGTAATCAAGAAATGTTCAATTGTAAGAGCTGTGGAACCCGTCATGGAGTAAGGCAGTGCTCTCCATATGGTCAAAAATGTAAGAGGTGTTGGCGTTATGGACATTGGGAAATAATGTGCCGCAATATGCCAAATGAATCTAGCAGTAAGGGTTTAAGGACAGTCAGAGATGTAATAGAAACTGACATTAGTAATAATATGAATGCAGATGACACGACAGTTGAAACACTATCTATTAATGAAATTAAGAATAGTAAAGAATAGATGGAAACTATTAAGGTAGGGGGTAAAAATATTTACTTTAAAATAGACAGTATGGAAAACACCAATATTGAGCCTACCATCAGGTTTAGATTTAAAAATTTTACCCAGGGTTGATAGTATAACATATGAGACACAAGAGGATTTTGTTAAAAAATAATATTGATGCCTTTCCAGGATTAGGATAATTAAAAAAAAAAAAGTATCGTTAAACTCAAAAAAAAATGCTTTGCCGACCAGGTAGGGTACCAATAACTATTAGAAATTAATTAAAAGAAGTGCGGAGTGGTTAAGCAATTTGGTAATTGTTAAAAAAAGTGACTAAGATTATGTCCATAAATTTTAAGTTTGCAATTAGAAAAAAAATATTGTGATATACCAACACTTGATGAAATAAGAACACAAAAAATTACTTAATTTTTACTGTACATGGCTTTAAATATGGATTTTATTAAGTACAATTAGAAAAAGAATCAAGTAAATTATGTGCTTTTAGTACAATATTTGTAGCATATAAATTTAACAGATTGCCAATGGGTCTTAATTGCGATCCAGAATTTTTTCAAAAAATAAATCAAGAAAACTTTGGTGATTTGCCAGGGTGCTTTACTTTGATGATTTGTTAGTTTTTGGGGAAACACTAGAGCAGCATGATATGAATTTAAAAAGAGTCATTGATATGGCTAGTCAGCTAAATGTTAAATTTAATGAGAAAAAAGATTCAGTATAGGGTTAATGAAGTAAGATATTTGGGCATAGAAGAAATAAAGCCTTTAATAAATATCAGCAATAAAAACTTAAAAGAACCAGCAAATAAAAAAAAACTTTAAAGTATTCTTTGAATGAGAAATTATTTAAGCAGTTAAATTTCTAATCACTCAAGTATTTCGGCTCCATTAAGGGAACTTTTAAAAAACAATGGACAAAATTGCAATCCGATACGTTAAAAAAAATAAAAGAATTGGTTAGTTCACACTCTGTGTTAAATTTTTTTATGAAACTCAGGAGACAGTAAGTCAAACTGATGATAGTCAAAATTGACTAGGGTGTTGATTGCTACAAAACCAAAACCCTGTTGTTTTTGCTTCAGGGTATCTAACAGATAATGAAACAGGGTTTATCCAAATCTAGCCATTTTATGGGCTTGCAATAAATTTCAAAATTACGGTTATGGACGTCATATTAAAATTGATTCTGATCATCGTCCATTGGAGGATTTAATGAAAAAAGGAATGTACGAAATCCATTCACGATGATTATAAATAATAAAGGTAAAACTTTTAAAGTATAATATTGAGGTATGATATAAGCCAGATTGCTGATTTACTTTGTAGAAAGTTTCAGAATATTAAGTGAGGATAATGAGTTTATTACAGAAATAGTTCACTCAATTAACTTTACAGAGGAGAAAAAAAGATTTCATTGAATAGACAATAAAGTATATTGTGTTATAAAGAATAACAAACGATTGCTTGATGGGATGACCTACAGATAGCAGTAAAGTTCTGAAATCGCTTAAAAGATATTATTTAATTAAACGTGACAGACATACATATATTTGATAATTTGCTATTTTAGAATGATGGAATAATGATACCGAATGCATCACGCAATGAGATACTCTCACAGAAACATTTTGGAGTTACTAAAACTCAAAATTGGCCAAAGCATATTGTGTATTGAACTCAAATAAATGCTGATATGGAAAATTTTATTAAGGAATGTAAGACTTGTGAATAATTTAGCAACAATATTATCAAGGAACCTTTAATTTTTAGAGACTTTCCTAAGCTTCCTTTCCAAACAGGGACTTACTTTGTATTGATAGAATACTTTTCAAAATGGTTGGAGGTAATTCCGGTAAAAAATAAAACTGCTGATACAGTAGTGATATGTTTAAAATTAATATTTTCACGGTTTGGAATCACATTGGAGGCAGTTTCAGATAAAATGTCGATTCACTAACGTGTAGGAATTTTGCAAAAGACTGGAATTTTAAATTTTGCACTTCCAATCCACATTACTCTCGGTCAAACAGGCTGACAGAAAGGGCAGTGCAAACATCTAAAAATATGTTAAGAAAATGTGAAGACTTAAACATAGCAGTATTAGAATACAGAAACACGCCAGTATTAGGAACAGATAAGTCTCTATCTCAGCTGTTACAAAGCAGAATATTAAGAACAATCTTCCAATCAAAGCAAAAATGCTGGAACCAGAGAACATTGACTATGATAATGAAAGAAATAAGTTAGAAGATAAAAGAAAATTATATAAGCGGTATTATGACCGAACGACATTGAGCTGAAATGAATTTCAGAATAATGAAAATGTAGTAATGTGAGAGGGATCAACCTGGTCATAGC